CAGCAAACAACTTTCTGTCACATTTTATTAGTTGGTATCATTTTTACTAATACCTGTCTTATAGCTTCATGACTTTGAGTTCATATTATTTTCATGCTTCAATTAGAAAGAAGTTGATAGCCAGACTATCCAGGAAGGTAATGGAAAAGTCTTGTAGCAGGGCTTAGTGGTGGAATTTATAGTTAAATGAAACTTTGAAATATACTATAAAACTTCTCCTTCCTTTACGCACTTTTACTTGAGGTCTCATAAACAGTAATATGTAGAAATGCAAAACTTAATCAGCTAAAAAATATAGCAAATCCCACATATCACTTTATGCAATGCCAGGAGAGCAGAAATATATTTTCCTAACCAGAGGAAATTAACTAGGCAACAGTCCTATATCTATAATTTAAAGCAGTAAAATATGTATGGCAGAAGCTAAAGCCACCTTAAAAGAATTCAGGGTAGCAGTATATCACAAATTAATGAAATGGAGACATTTTTAGAGCATGCAGCACTGATGATATTAAAGGGGGGAGAATATTTCACCACATAGATCAGACTGATAAATACTTTTAAAATCAAGCTTTTTCCCTGTTTAAAAGTGTAAGATCTTGAATGTTAGGAGGAAGCATGTACAAACCATTAACATTTCTAAACAAATCTTAATAGAGATTAGGATTATTTTACTCTGTTCCTGCCTGTAAAGCTCTGATGTTTACACATTAGGAAAATCTGAGTAAATCAAAAGCCAGGAATTACAGAGTCAGCACTTACATTTTTTCATCTAAAACAGAGCTGAAAGAAACTTAAAAAAATTACTTTATATTCCGTGCTGTAGCCAAGCTGGACACTATGGAATATTCAACTACCCCAGGTTTTTTAAATGCAATCAATTTACTGCTGCCAAATGTAGTAGGTTTATATACATCTGGGAAACATGCACCTACGGTGCTGATGAATTTCTCCTGACATTGCACTGATTTCAAGAGAATGTTATTTTAAATTGGCAGTAGAGAGACTGGTAGAGAAGGATAAAGCCCTGAGGATGGCTGAATCAAAGAGAATTTCAAAAGAATTTTCCTGATGGTTCTTGGATAATATCACATGTTAGCTATTTTCAAAGCCAATAGTTTCCAACACACTTCCATTTATGGTATCAATAATTAAAAAATACTTCAGTGTGAGAGGAACTTACCTTACTGAGAAGAGAAATTGGAAAGCTGTGTTATTATCATAAACACAGGAGATGCAAAAAGCTGTGTCTCCATGGAAAAGCTATGGAAACAGGGGTATCTTATTTGCAGCTATTGAGTGGTTACCACAAAATGTGATGTGATTGTATGTGCGTGTTCAAAGTGCTACTAGAACATGATCACAGAGAAATGAAGGGCAGATCTTCATCTACTTTGTATAACAAGGCCAAATTAAACTACCTCAAGCTTTGGTCCTAAACCTCAAAGACAACTAGAATAGTGTTAAGGAAATATCTTGGATCCAATTCAGAGGTAAAGCTGGGTTTAAAGAAAATTTAAATTACCAAAACTCAAATCTCATTATGTCCCACTCCCTGCCAGCATGTCCCTGCCAGCTCCTAATGAATTTTTAACATCCTTCCCCCACCCCACTGCGCACACCAGCTCTGACTCGGGCACCCTGAACTGTACAGCAGCACTCTAATTGTACCTCACATGTCAAGGGGCAAGAAGAAAGGAGTGTGGTGAGAGCATTGATAAATTTAACTTAACATTCCTCCAGCTACTCAGCAGCAAGGCAGAGCAGCAAACTCCCCTCCACATTTTGCAGGGGTGTCAGTTACTTCAAAGGAATATATTTGAGCACGAGGGAGTCTGGCTTGCTTCCAGCTTATGCATCATTTGTGTCTGGCTGTTTCTGGAGATCCACAGCAAAGCAAATACTTCCTCCAGTTTGGGGCACAGTGTGAAGCTTTCCATACCTGCTTTATTAGGGTGCTGGAAGAGGTGAGCCCTGCATGTTGCATTCAAACCATGTAGTTGGAGTTGCAGCTCCAGCCATCTGTATTTCTTCCAGTTTCTTTTATTTTTTTCACTTTTTCCCAGACTTATGTCAGTCCAGGGTATAGATTAATGGTCTATACCTGTTCAGTTTAACATACAGATGTGCTTTTAAGCCCAGACAGAACCTGTTCAGGCAGGTTTCAGGAAGCCAAGCACACATTGCTTGGGGGTGGAAGCCATGTGGAACAGGGCAAGAGGCAGCGCTGGGTCACTCTCAGTGTGGGTTCAGCCCAGCACAGAGAGGGGTGAGGCTCAGGGAACAAGAAGCAGGCACAGATTCTGACCCTTTTGGGGGTGTTTCTGGGGCATCATGCAACAGCCATGGCCATGGGGAGCAGTGTGACTGCCATGAGATAACATTAAGGTTGCTGTGATCCCACAAACTCTCTTTAGATGTTTTGGCGCCTGAGTCTCAACAACACTTAACTTCCATTAATGGCATTATTTTACCTTGCAATTAATCTCATTAATTGGATGATCAGTTTTTTGAAATTGTTTTAGCAGCACATGGAAAGAGCTGTTGTACTATCTGCAAGTGATCACCATCGATTCTTGACTAAAGGTAGAAAAGCTGGTTCAAGAGCTTCACACACACACACACAGGAAAGAGAGATTATATTCATTGTGACAGAAGTGCAAATCTCAGAGGTCACCTTTTCTTTTGAAGCCCTTTGTCTATTCTTACAATTAAGCAATAGGGTTTTGGTGGCCGACACCCCTTGTGGAACACAGAGGACTTTCACAACTCAAACTAAAGCTGTGTGACCTCTGCCAAAAGCAAAGGCTGCCTGCCTGCGGCAAGGTGGAGAACAGAAACAAGCCCCAGAGGATTGGCAGGTGCAACTAAACAGCTCAGCTTCTCATTTGAATCAGTAAATTAAGGGTTGACAGTGATTATGGCTGATCTCAGCCATCATAACTGATATAACGACTTTGTAAAAGCAGACTGTCAATGTCAGATCTTAGAACTAGGACTCAAAGAATTAAATATTTTAAAGTAGCAGTCTCCAAAGACAGATAAAAGCCCCAAGGCTATGATTTATTTTATTTTATTTTTGTATTTGTAGGGCTGAAACTAGACCCTTTAATCCACAGGCTGACATTTTCCAATCCTACTAGGAATTGAGTGCCTAAATTTTTCAACCCCTTTGAAAAATCTCAGCTTTAGGCTCTTTGGTAAGTGTAGCCTGATCCAGCACCAAGCTTCTTTTGAACCTCTACTGAAGGTAAAACTACAGGCACTTTATTATGTAATCATGAGCAAGTATTATTTTTTTTCCCCCTATGTATCCAGTTATGGTAGATTTCTGGTTAAATATCAAAGGGTAAAACCTGCATTTCAGAAAACGTATGTGTTACAGGAAGCTTCCCCCTCACTTTTAGTGCAGTATGCCTACCTACACAATTATTGAAGATCCTTCTAAGTAATTGCTGTGTTCATTCAGTAGATTACTTTATTAAACAGAGATCTGATCAGCTACTTACTGATCACATCTATGCACAAACTCAACTCAATCAACCCTTTTACAGTGAATACTGCATCAGAAATTATGGGAAAGGTATCATAAGTTAGTTTTACAGAAAAGTCTCACATTAAGTCATTCTGGTCCCCAACCCTATTTTCTCTTATTGAAAAAGCACCCGTGGACTTCGGTGCCCTTATCCAAGATCTGAGTGTGTGCTATGATTAAGACCTTCAGAGATATTTTTTATTTTTTTCTTTTTCCTCTAGAAACAGGGAATGCTGAAGATATGGAAAATGAAAAATGTGCCATGTTTGTCCTTGAAGTTACAGTTAGAATAGTGACAATAGCTGTATCACACTGTATTGTTGCTTTTATCAGCAAGTGCCCTGAGCATACATTAACATAATTGCAAACTGCGTGAAAAGTGAACATGCAGAAATGTGATGCAATTGCCAATAGCCTCAAACATCTGTCCCAACAAAGTGTTCCTCCTCCTTATTTTAATTCTTATTATTTTAACAAGGTTAGTGAAGGAGAAACCATGTCACAGATTATATCTACATTTAGAGTGTCAGAACAATTATTGATGCAAAATTGTTATCCAAGAAAATGTGTGTCACATTTTGTTCACTTCCCATAACACCTGTTCACTTTGCTAGCACATTATTACCAGTTAAGGCCAGAATTCATTAGTCCCAGTTAAAGCCCACCTGAAAGCATAATTCATACACGCATCCGAAAAATGAACAAAGTTAACCAAAATGTGGCACTATTTGAGCAGGGCTTCATCTGAAGCTGGTGGTCAGCAAACTTCTGTAGCAGCTAATGGAAAGAAAGCGAGCCTGGCAAATAGGAATAAATTAAAAGCCACTCAGCCTTAAGGGCTGAGATCACAGAGGAGCACAACTGAGCCAACCTGCATTTCCACCACGGTACTGAGACCTTCAAAGCTCACTCTTGCCAGAGCCCCACACTTTCCCAATAAGAACAAATTTTGGTTTCTCTCCTTGACAGGTAAATGACAAAAGCAGATAGGTTAAGGCATTTTAATCCCACCTAAATATTTCCTGCTCTACTTTGGGGTTCTCAGCTCTGAGCCTGGACCTTGTGTCTCCTTCCACACATGTAGAGTGCCACCATCTCCTGACTCTCCAAACTGCTCCCATTTGCCACCAAGGAAAGTCAAGCTTGCATTTCTGTGATACTTGAACACACTTTGTGAATTTGAGGGCATCTGCCCTGCAGATATACCACTAACTGTAACCCCAGGAGGCTAAAGGAAATATCAGCACTCCAATTCATAGAGTAAAGGTCTGAGGAGGCAGCTCTGTGAACGGATAACTGCCCGGGGCTTTGCTGAGCACAATATAGCTGTCACTTGTTATTAGGTGAAAGATTTTCTGGGGAACAGTGTTTTTCATTTTGCATGTCAGAGACGGGGGAAAAAACACATTTAGACAACCATCTCTTTAAGAAAAGAGAAGAGAGCGGCGCAGCAGAACTCACTTACCGGGGCTGGTTATTGTCAGGAGGTCAAGCCGCCGTTTTTGCTGAAAAACAAATTATAAAGGAATTGTTAAAAGGCGACTAATTTAAGTGGGTCAGCTTAGACCTACAAAGTAAGAGTTCTGACATTTACAGCAGGATTAATTACAAGTTACATAGCTCACAGTAACTCTTTCGGAAGGGATCCACATGTACTTTATGAGGGAGAAAAAACCCCTTCCTCAGTCCTTTAATGTGTTTTTATTTGCGCTTATAAAGTTTCACTATTTTTTTTTTGGAACATACACTTGAAATGGATAGCTGGAAGCACAGGTGGACCGATATATTTATAAAAGTGATTTTTGATTCCACAGGGAAGAAGACATGGAACCAGGACAAGCAACTCTAAATTCTTTATTCATATCAATCATTGACTCAATGCCTGTATGTGATCAAACACAATCATATCGCCTTGGGGTGAACCTTTCAAAGACATGCAAGAGGATCTAGACAAACTCAGGACTGATAAAAGGAGAGATTCTTTACATGCTGAGCACAGTCAGCCCATGGATCTTGCTGCCACCGGATATCCCTCATCCCAAAAGCTTGCTAGATTTGATCATCACTGGATGTGTGTTCAGACAGCAAAATGCAGGCAGTTATTATGGCAAATAATCAAGTTTACACAGAGGACTGGTTTCTGGAATGGCTGCAAACCTTCACAGGGTGAACAAACCTGTACTATGAGAAAGTTAGGAAAGTATTTGGACTGGAACAAGCCAAAAATCCCACCAAAGCCTTTGTGATGGTGGGGTGCATCTGAGGTTCCCTTTTCCCATAACATACAGCCAGCGCTGTTGCCTACTCCATGTTCCCAGTCTTAGGTGATCTCTCCACCACTGTCTCTCTGTAGCTTGCCACTTAAATCCAGGTGCTCCTAGACCATTATAATAGTTTTCCACTTTTCTGTGGGCTGAGAGCTTTCTCTCACAAGCAGGGCTTTCCCAATCTCACGGACAGACTGTTACTGCCCCTTCATCATAGCACTTTCCAACTTACTGTCTTCTTCCTAACTTTGCCCAACATCAGTGTGTCTAGCAGGTATTGAAGATTATACTGTCCACTTTAATTTCTCTCTCCTAATTTGCTCAATAATGTCTGTGTTACTTTCATTTATTGTCAGCCCTATTGATCTTCCAATCTAATTCTCATCACTGCACTCACTGTATTCCCTATGTGACAGCTGAAAAGTCCTTGAGGAGGAAACATTGACTTGGTATTCCCTACCCTGAATTCACTTCCTTGGAAATCATGACTGATGAAACTCCTTTCCAAACCCATCATTTCTCTGTGGTAAAGCTTCACTGGCTGAAGTGCATGGACACATTTGGTCATCCCCTGAATACACTTGAGCTGTGCTGGGCACAACAGCAACTTTGGTCTGCTGGAAAGCCAAGTGGGGTGTCAGGCTGGAAATAACCACATTTTCTGAAACCTTCTTGGCCTTCAGTTCCTTACCTCTGGCACAACACAAAATGTATTTGAGAGAAAATTCCTATCTGTCTTTTTCCAGAGGCACTCCTTGTTCTCTTAACTCTGCTAAGTCATTCCAAGCATGACTTTAGCCGTGTGCTCCAGCATATTTGTTTTCATTTAAAATACTGGGGCCAGCATATGCCAAACCTTTTTCCAGGTGTGCCAGGGTAAAAGGGAGCAGAAAACCCTGCTGCTGCCGTCTTGTGTCACCTGCTCACCCCTTCCTTTCCTGGGAGCAGCAAAGCAGAGTAAGAAATCCCGTGTGTGAGCACAGGACCCAATTCCCAGTGGGAGATGTGAGACAAAACATCTCCTAATGAGCTAAATTTTATATAGATCCTGCACCTTAATCCTGATTCATATGTACAAAGCTGTGAAATGCCAGAGCTTAGCCCCCACTGGGCCAAAAGCTTTGCTTACATTTCTCAGCACAACTGGAACTCTAAATGCTGTATATATAAAATGAACAGCTAGAGCAGAAAATATATATCTGAAGCCTATACTCCGTGAAGTCCTCTCCACCAGGAAAAAAAGGTGGAATATAAATATCCTGCATCAAAGAAAGTTGGAAAATGTAAAGATATGGAACAGAAAGGCACGCAGCCCAACTGGCCCCCAGTCCTGACTTGAGTCTGTTAGATGGGGTAAAAATAAACTTAAATGAAAAACCAAAATAGCTTAGCTTGATGCGTCAGGAAAACAAAAGCATATAGGACAGGTCAAACAAATGGGAAATAAAATGAAATTATTATAAGTCAAATGTTCAGTTTGTATTTTTTTTCCAGTTTGAATACTGCCTTCAAGCTGACCTTGGAAAAAACAAATTAACTCCAGATCCAGGAAATCTTTGTGTATATGTTGAACTTTAAGCTGAAGTTATTTCTCTGACTTCAAGTGGAGCAGCACTGATCTTTTGCATCTAACACCTAACTGCTGCAAGGGATTTGAAATGCCACCAGGTTCTTGGCACTGGCTCCACCCAAGTGCTCCAGGCTGGAGCTCGGTGGTTCCTGCCTGCCTGGTGACAGAGGGAGGGAAAAATTCTCAGCTCTGACCTTCACTGGACCTTGAGAGGTTTCTCTGATTTAGCTCGTCAAGGGAAGTTTGTGTACACTCACCCCAGCCCTGGAGAGAAGCAAACAGCAAAGTGCATTCCAGAATCGTGCATTTAAACATGCAAAAATGCCCTAATTATGGACACAATCACTTTCTGGAAATTCCTGCCTGCTCTCAGATCTCAGGATCTCTGCCGTTTCCAGGGCTCAGCTGGATGCAAGCAGCCTAGTAACTAGATGGATTTAAAAAAAAAAACCAAAAACCCAGACAGACTCACTTATGAGCAGCTATAAAAACAGCAGTCTTTGAATTTAAAGAGAGAGACATTACAAATGTCACACCCATTAATAAAATAATTTCATCAGAAGAATTGTGGCTGTGGGGCTTTATGTATTTGCTTCTTTCTTTAGTGTTGAAAGATGCAAATTGCAGCTGTGGCCCCCCTCCAGCATGATCACCCTCTCCCTGTTTTGACAGATTTCTTGAAAGACTCTGCTCACAAGATGTCTGGCTTTTTTTGTTCTGCCTTTAGGAATTTTCCACTTCTCAAACACCTGCCCCTGCTGAGATGTTTGGGACCATCCCAATTTTCAGGCAATCCACTGTCCCAAGAATTTCTTACAATCTGAGCACTGAAATGTGATGAGTTCCCTGGTCAGAAAGTGGTGACAGCTTCCCATGTCTCTAAGGCTGGATTTCACCCAGGTTGACAAAAGGGCATTCCACGAGAGACACAAAAATGATCCCCACTGCATCAGCCATAATTTATGAGGCAAACAGAAATATTCCCTGCATCATCACTGTATCACTGCTGCTGTAATCCTGTCCTGCCCTTAAGGGGCAGCATCCTCTTTTCCACTCTGCTGGCTGTTTGAGATCCCAAGGGCAGGAAGAGGCCACTGGTGATTCATTCCCTTCCCACCTGGAGCAGTTTCCATCCCTGGCACTACCCAGAGGCGCAGCGCACCAGGGCCCAGAGCAAACCTGCAGCAGATCGTGTTCACTTCCACAAAATTAACACAATCCTTAATTAATGCAATAAGCACTGATGAGTAATAAATCATATTAAAATACAAGGAAGGCAATTTTTTAATAAATTAAGCATTGATTCACTCAATAAATATTAATCTACTAAGCATCAAGAATTCATTACGTTTTAGGAAACCAGTTGAAGAACGTTGTTGGTGAGCTGGTCTGCAGTGTGCAGAATGGTCCCTGTTCACTCATAATATACACTTACTTTTAACTAATTCCTGAATTGATCAAGGCAAACAACTTGCCTGTAAGTGAGTCTGGATTATTATTCCATTGCAAGATGCAATTTTCTCAACACAGATTCTAACTCACCCCTCAGATTTTTTCCTGTTTCTTAGTAACTCCTTTTCTAAGAACCTCCTTTCCCTTCCTTGGTTTTGGAGGTCTTTAAAATATTTGCTGACTGGTGTCATTTAATTTTCACCTCAATTAACTTAGCAAGAGTTGCAAAACTAGGGAAAAAATTGCAGGGGGAGTGTAAATTAACTCATTCATTTAAGTTTAGTTTATCTATGAGATGTTCTTTCACACTTTGCTCTCTGCAGAGTTCCTCCAACCTTTTATATAGATGTGGGATGTGCTGCACTTGCTTTGACTCTTATCTACAGATTAGCAAAAGAGAAGGGAAAAAAAGCCAGATGCAAAGATGCCCCACGAGACTGATATGGAGCTGTTTCTGTAGCAACCGATGATTTTCTTCTCATGTAAGAATGAGCCTCGTCATATCTAATTCTGAATGTATCTGGGCCTTGCTTGCCAGCCAAAGCTGTGTCAAGTATTAAGTCAATATAGTCAGAAAGAGTGATAAAAAAGCAATTATAAAGTCATCTTCCTACTTCTCCTTCAGCCATGATCCAAAAAATATCCTTATTCCTGCCTTCTGTCCCAGCACATCTTCTCCAGGGCCCCTACACCCAGCAGTGTGGGTAAGTGGGGATGGAGCTGGCAGCAGCTACTCAGGGATCTACTCCACACATGATGCTGGAAGCTCCTTCAGCTTCCCAGCCGTCCACATCCCAGGAGCCAGCAGAGGTTTTTCTAAACATCAAGGCCATCTATTCCTGCCTTGCTCTGAGTCTCCTGATAAAATTCCTAAGCCCAGAGCTGGAGCTTCAGTCCAGAAACTTCATCTCTAGAAAGCTCCTGTTGGCTTTGTGCCTTTCTCTGCCTTCACTCTGTGGGCAGTTTTTGCTGCAGCTGTGAACCCAAAACCAGGCTGCCCACTCACTATCAGCTCCTGGCAGGAAGCTGGAATTGACTCTCTGGGACTCACTTTGTCTTCCAAAGGACAAAGGACTTTATCTTCCAAAATGTATTTTACCCAGCCTGGTCTATGCTATTGATTTCTTCCCCCTAATTTGAGTGTGTTTTGAACATGTGTCTGTCCCTCACCACCTTCAATTTACTGTGCAGAGGGTTTAAGATTGAAATGAATTAC